CAGAAATTTTTCTAGAGGTTTTGGGCTCAGGTGCTGCTAGTTGAATCGTGCCTAGGACCCTTATAAGCGGAAATTTCGTTGGTCGTGCTATTTGCTTAAATCAGTAAAGGTATGTAGAGCTGCTCTATCGGTGAAGTTCCCTTGAAGAGCTTAAATTGTTCCTAAAAATTTCATGAAAAGCCCGTCTGCCACTTATGGTGGACATGGTCCCAAGTGGACATAGGTTAACATGGACTAAATTTGTATGCTCATCTGTGCTCGATCGTGCGCGACTGGTATGGTTCTCTCGATAGCGCAAAAATGGCCTACATATATGACATGGTGTTGTTTGTTTCGAAACAGTGTACTGGTAAACCATTCCACTGCTCTGGGGTAAGGAGGAGAGACTCTACCATCCCTCAATGCGCTTTCCGATGAGAAAATTTAATCTTACAAGAAGGTCATATTATCGACTACGAACCGACATTCCTATAAGAACGTGCCTGAGAAATAGGTTCGAAAAAATTGTGTAAGTGCCATGATTAAAAGTGAATCGTCGAGAAGGTACCTACTTTGTTGGAGCCTAATGAGCTCACTGCTGTTCCGGATGTTGCAAAGCATTTTGCTGAAGTATTCGTAGGAGTTTTCGTAAAGTACAGTAACCATGGGGATGACGGGTGAATGGTTTGACTTTTTTTCTCGATTACAAGTCTCCTTATTGTTTTTGTAGAGAAGTTCCCACTTTTTCCAAAATGGAAGTGTGGTCCTCCACACATTCACTGTATTCGCCTCTCTATTATCCAATATCTGGAAAGCAACCAGATTCTATTGGATTTGCACCATAGTCGCAGGCAGATCAATAATGACTCAACTGTTTGATTCACTTAATAATTGGACGAGGACGCTAGATGATAAGAAGGAAATGGATGCAGTGGATTGGCTCACAAGTAGTGCTAGTTTTTCCAACTCAGAGTTCCATGTTAAGGAGAAACATTTTGCTGTGCAATTCTATATCATGTGACAGAGAAACTCCCGCCCTATAATGTGTACTTGTTTTATAGATTTGTTTCCTGTTGATGGAATAGAGTGTCAAGTCAAAAAATGAGCATTCTGACATTCCCTTCTTTGCTTCATAGAGAAACTACAGCGGCAGAAGGTCTATATTTAACACATTGAACGCCGCGTGAATTGTCGGCAATACACGCGCATACTCCCGTTTCTCGCGTTTGTGTATTGCCCACAATTCACGTTTTGTGGGTCGGTTTTTTCGTGGGTATGAGTGCGACTTGAATCATTTTCACCTATATGTTCAGTGAGCTTTGCTTATGCTTAGTTCTTGATGGCGCGAAATAAGCTGCTCATTGAAGTAATTCATTAATATTACAAAATACAGTCAGTGGCGCGGTCGGTAATTGCACTTCTTATGATAGCTCCGCATCACTACAATGGTAGTAAGACTTCTAGTGATAATAAGTGTTAATTTACAATACGTTTGATAGTGTTTAATTGATTATGATAACAATACTTATGTCGTCAAAACTGACGTTTAGATCTTCTACGTTGTCCAGATCCATCTATGCAGCTAAAAGAAGTCATCATTCATAATGAACAATGTAGAAATGAGCGCAAAAGTAACCAGAATGAGCGTGTAAAGGGGCATGCGGCACAAAGACTCCCGTTTCGCGCGTTTGTGTATTGCACGCAATTCACGCGCGCGGAGACGCAGGAAGTAAAAACGGGAGTCGCCGCAAAAACGCCGCGGCGTTCAATGTGTCAAGTGTATTTCCGTGAAGGTCCGCTTTTCAGGGAGTCGGAAAGGCACTCAGAGGTGGTTCAAATGAATCTAGGATTTTAATTTCTCGCTCGCAAGCAAGCATCGCCCCAAAGGTCTTAACTGAGTCCCTTTGGGAGCTTACTGGGTCGACTTGGCCGCGATTACCTACGTCAGTTAATATTGTATTAAAACAGATCATGAAATGTTCCCACACTTTTACTGAGCGTCGCCTTCATCTGATGGAAGGGGTTTGAAACGTGTATGCATGGATTGAGCACGAGGTCGCTCCTCACCTTACCAAGAGAGGGGCCCGGTGGCACGCATATTCGTGAGGTCGGGAATCCCACCCGAAGCACTTGGATCGGGCTTAAAGACAGTCTCCGCGCTCAAATGATTCGTAGGTATCCTTTGTACAAATACTCTGGTCCTCAGTAGGATAGTCTATCAGACTATCCCACTTTTGCGGCTTTGCAGTAAATAACAAGGGTGCTGTGGCCCTCGTGGCTGTTCTAACGCCTCCGTGGTCCCTCCAAGACTCCGAGGCCCTTTCTATTACGGGTTCACTTTTTACCCATGTTTTTCGCTTTTCTCCACTGTTAGATGGTATTAGCATTGCTTGAGGCGAAGGAACGAGTGGTGAGCGATACGTGGCAGAATATAGCTTTGCTGGCATCAAACGGGCAAGTTTGGAGAACTCCTCCAGAGGCTAACAGCTTTTTACTGAGAGTGTTCTCCACGATATTCTTTGCTTCTTTCTTCCCTAGGGTGGGGGGGTCCCCTAGCGGTTATAGGTTTGTAATTAAACGCCACTATTCATAATATGAAGTTGCGGAGTTGCGGGGTCTTTGAGCCGACCTAGGAGAGAGTGTTTCTTGCTTATGCAATTCACACATTTTGAGCTGCTTGTGCTGCTTCAGTGCCCACAAAAGCGGAAAAACCTGCTATCGAAAGCGCATGTTTTCACCAACTTGATGACACTCGAATTCAGTGCTCAATGATTCAGTTAAATATGACAAGAGTGAGTGCACGCAAAAATACAAGCATGCTATCCAAAAGATAGTAAACTCCTGCCCAACAGTTGAGAATGCTTTGAGAATGCATCTTCTTTCACACAGATTGTATTTTAGAAAAAAAATGCAATCTTTCATGAACCAATCTAGTAATTTACTTCGGCTTCTGCAAGGCTTTCAAGTTGTTAATCGCATCAAGTTTTTGATGGGGCTGAGGCATATAGCTATCCATAATAACATCATCCGATGGGCCAAGTCCTTTCTCAAGCAGAGGTCGCTGCAGGAGTGCACTTCATATCTCAGAGATGGAGAGTCCGTGGCTGCGTACTCCATTCAAAAGTGGCGGCAGCTGCGCTTCTGGAGGGATATTGCAGTTTCAGAACAGTTGCAACCATGACATTGTTCAGTACGAGATAGGACAACACTTGTATCAAATGGTACTCCACGAACAACGCATCTTATGCCGTGTTCGCGGCCACGCCTACTCTATCGCTGGGATGTGCAGTGTGATAGATCATTTTCTACTGTGAGAGCTGCTTCTAGCATTCTACAAGGTGGTGTCCTTTCGCCAGTATTGCTCGGCTTTCACTCGTATGAAATGCTTAGCATAGATTAAGATATCGGATCAACTGTGCAAATGCGGCCGCCTTCCAATCTTCGTGGACCTCCGATTCCCGTCATCACTTGCGTGTCGTGGAAAAGCCTAGCCATCGCTCTTTCCATAGCGCATTGTGATTGACGCTGGCTGCATGTTTTTTCTGCTTCATAAAGTCCACTCTGAATCGTAGTGAAAGGCATGAAGGATCGCGGAATCGAAGGGGTGGGCATGAATTGTGATGTTTTTAGTTTTCTTCGCTGCTCCCGTTGCCCCAGATGATGACACTTCCTGGGGCTTCGCTTCATTAACGTTGGGTCTATCTCTGCTAGCATCGAAAAACGGGAAGATTAGCGACATGGTCAGGCGAAACATTTGATTGGATATTATGTGGTCGGTCTCGCTATGATGCTGTCTACCAGGAAACTCTCATGGCCGGCGTAGAAAGTAGGGCTTCTAAAACTGCGAGTTACCATAAGTTTTATGGGTCGACTTTTCATCCTGCTCGTTCCACTACATTCCATGAATCCGAAATTTTCATTGGTTATGGGGCCAGTCTTATGTTGAAGTCGCCGACGATGAAGATCTTACCTATAGAACCTTCACAATTCCATATACATGCGAGTTTTCCTCGTCGTGGTTTGGTGCTGGTATGCAAGCGGCCAAAATTGTAGAGATCGGGGTTGAACTCATCTTGTTAATCAGAAACGTACGGTACGGGTTGTCAGTTTTTTGTACAATTTGATGTTCATGGCGAAGTGCGTGTTGACGAGGACACCCATGCGACTAGCGCCGTAATGCTGTCGCATGTTTGGAGGAACGGTTCTTTTTCAGTTCCATCGACGGCGTGAAGCGGCGGGACGACGTCGTACTTCCTAGCTTGCGCCATCGGCTGGTTGATGTGAGCTTTGGGCGTTACGTTAAACCATACGTTAAACCGCAAATTTTTTCTCATTTCACTACGGCTGCTCTTCTGACTGGTAAATGTCAATACGTGTAACTTTCAGTTTTTCTTAGATAACAAGGGAGGCGTCTCACCTGTGACAGACATTCCATTATAAAAGGCCTTCCGACAACAATGTCTCCGTGGTGTCTTCTTTGCGTGATTCCTATGGATCGGGGTCATAAACCGGCAATCGTGTGACCATCATGCATACATTCAACCGCTAGTTTTTTTTTCATTTGACCACGACTGCTCCTCCAAGTCCGTCTCAGCCCTTCCTTGCACCTGTAGGCTTTGTAACGTAACACCATTGGACAAAGACTGGTCTCTGCACAGAGGGACATTAGTCTCCCTGTCCCCGCACATTCGCCTCCTCATTTGACAGGCGCACGCAAGCCAGTTGACTGAAGCATACAGCCATACGACTTGTCACGATTCGTATGCGATTGAGCATCTCGCCGCAACAGCAGATCTTCCACAATATCGTCATCCTGTGTTAGAAACCTTGTCTCAAAGCTAAGAGTAGAAACTTCAAACATCTCTCATAAAAGTCACTGTTTGCGATCCACTGCAGTACTCAAAGGAGAATTCTTGGTGGAAAATCTATAACAGCAGCGTATTTGAACGCAACAATACCTTTCAGCCCTGCAAAACGGAATGAGCTCGTGTTCTATTAGTGATGTTACAGATCACAAGGTAATGATATGGAGGATTTCTGATAGCAAACATGCACTGAAGCTTCGAGGTCACCAACGTGTTGTTAACGGAGTCTCATGGAATCCAAAACATCCCAGGTGGGTTTTTATGCATGACATTTCAAAAACAAACGATCTTTCGATGTTCAGCATGCTCGCGAGTTGCTCGCAGGATGCAACAGTGCGCATCTGGAATATTGCCCGCAACGACCTTCTCGTGGAGCCATCTTCATTGCAAAGGAAAGGCTACAAAAGGAAAACGGGTAAGAAGTCGAAGGACCCGAAGAAGAGAATTGAGGATAATGCGTGAATCTCATTGACGGATATTTTGTTTATCTTGTGACACATTGATGGTTAATGAGGCTAACAAGAATATACGTGATTTCCGAAACGTTATTTTGTATTTCTTGTAAACACGTCTACGTTATTGTGTTGTTTTCGTGCCTTCTCTTTTTGATGTGAGAATTAGCGCCGAATGCGTGGTTCACTATCCCCATGTTCTAGCTGTGTGTAATGTAATTTAGGCTTTTCTGCTGGTGGTTCCATTTTTTATTTTAGTGTTCTATCGGCAATTGTCTAGGTTTTCTGTTCGCTTATTTAATCCAGGCAATTTAGGTCGGTATTTCTGAACAACCTCAACATGCTACTATTTATCTCAGGGTATTACTTGCGCTGGCAATATCGTGTAAATGAAAATGACCAAATGATCAAGAGACTTGATTTTTCTCTCAGTATCGTCTGTACCACGACACTCTGAAGGATAGACAACGAAATTATAATTGTATATGGTTTCATTCTGAGGGTTGGTTGGTGGACGTCTGTTGCATCATTTCTCGTTCGTCTAAATGTTAGTGGCCAAAAGCGTTTCCATTAGAAGTGATGATCTACGTTTTCACAGACTTGGCAAGAACGGTAAACTGACAAAGGCCGTCTAACATGTGCAACCATGGGCGGCTCCCTTTGCCCGTCAGTCAAGAAAACTAGAACAGTCATCGGAAAACACCCTTCCCCCACCAATCGCCATTACCATCAATAAAATGCTTATTTTTGAATCTATCAAAACAACCCTCACAGCAAAGCAAGTTCTTAACGCTCCAAGCGGGTAGCCTGCAGCCTCAAGGAGGGTTACTTCTCAGGGCACAACATGCGGATGTGGAAAATGGTCGTGTCATTACCAGGGCACATCGTTGGTTGGGGAATCCCCAACAGGGGGGTCGTATTTGGCCGCCAGGAGA